CTTCCGTCAAATTCAACATCTCTTTCATCCTCCCTTCTCAATCATTCGCTCTCACTGACTGAATTTGTTTCCGGCTTTCAATCATCTCGCAGTCGCTCTGAGTTGTCCTGCATTTCATTCACTCTTTCCCCTCCCTGCATCTCTCTCTCTCTCTCTCTCTCTCTCTCTCTCTCTCTCTCTCTCTCTCTCTCTCTCTCTCTCTCTCTCTCTCTCTCTCTCTCTCTCTCTCTCTCTCTCTCTCTCTCTCTCTCTCTCTCTCTCTCTCTCTCTCTCTCTCTCTCTCTCTCTAAACTTCTTTCCTCCTGCGTAAATTAGAAAATTTCAGATCACACACACGCATGGCTCAGACCACAACCCAAAAAAATCCTTGTTCAAAATTATTCAACAAGGCCTTGAATAATTTAACAGACTATATACACTCACCTAAAGGATTATTAGGAACACCTGTTCAATTTCTCATTAATGCAATTATCTAATCAACCAATCACATGGGAGTTGCTTCAATGCATTTAGGGGTGTGGTCCTGGTCAAGACAATCTCCTGAACTCCAAACTGAATGTCAGAATGGGAAAGAAAGGTGATTTAAGCTATTTTGAGCGTGGCATGGTTGTTGGTGCCAGACGGGCCGGTCTGAGTATTTCACAATCTGCTCAGTTACTGGGATTTTCACGCACAACCATTTCTAGGGTTTACAAAGAATGGTGTGAAAAGGGAAAAACATCCAGTATGCGGCAGTCCTGTGGGCGAAAATGTCTTGTTGATGCTAGAGGTCAGAGGAGAATGGGCCGACTGATTCAAGCTGATAGAAGAGCAACAGTGACTAAAATAACCACTCGTTACAACCGAGGTATGCAGCAAAGCATTTGTGAAGCCACAACACACACAACCTTAAGGCGGATGGGCTACAACAGCAGAAGACCCCACCGGGCACCACTCATCTCCACTACAAATAGGAAAAAGAGGCTACAATTTGCAAAGCTCACCAAAATTGGACAGTTGAAGACTGGAAAAATGTTGCCTGGTCTGATGAGTCTCGATTTCTGTTGAGACATTCAGATGGTAGAGTCAGAATTTGGCGTAAACAGAATGAGAACATGGATCCATCATGCCTTGTTACCACTGTGCAGGCTGGTGGTGGTGGTGTAATGGTGTGGGGGATGTTTTCTTGGCACACTTTAGGCCCCTTAGTGCCAATTGGGCATCGTTTAAATGCCACGGCCTACCTGAGCATTGTTTCTGACCATGTCCATCCCTTTATGGCCACCCCATCCTCTGATGGCTACTTCCAGCAGGATAATGCACCATGTCACAAAGCTCGAATCATTTCAAATTGGTTTCTTGAACATGACAATGAGTTTACTGTACTAAAATGGCCCCCACAGTCACCAGATCTCAACCCAATAGAGCATCTTTGGGATGTGGGGGAACGGGAGCTTCGTGCTCTGGATGTGCATCCCACAAATCTCCATCAACTGCAAGATGCTATCCTATCAATATGGGCCAACATTTCTAAAGAATGCTTTCAGCACCTTGTTGAATCAATGCCACGTAGAATTAAGGCAGTTCTGAAGGTGAAAGGGGGTCAAACACAGTATTAGTATGGTGTTCCTAATAATCATTTAGGTGAGTGTATTACACAGTTAGAAAAGCAATGTGCACATTGGTTTTCTCGCTAAACCAGCCAGCGTTACACTGAAAACAATGAAACATGAGCAGAACGGATATCTGTGTAAACTGTTCATAACCGCTCGTCATCACTGCCACAGATCAGCGAGAAAATGGTTTAATTAACATTTGATAGTTTCTTTCAATAATGTTTCAAGAATAGTGGCCATTGTTAAGAACAATTAAAGGAATAGTTCACTTAAAAATAAAAATTCTGTCATTTATTCACACTCAAGTTGTTTCAAACATTTATGAATTTCTAAGAGGAAAAAACTATGGAAGTCAAAGGTCTCCATCCGGTGTCTGGTACCGACATTCTTCAAAATATCTTCTTTTGTGTTCAACAGAAGAAAGAAATTCATACAGGTTTGAAACAACTTGAGGCTGAGTAAATGATGACAGATTTATCAGAACTATTAATGTAAGTAATATTTGTAATTTTTAATAATGCCTAATGTACTTTATGAATTTACTGGATTTAGGAATCCATTAATAATAAAGCTCTGGCTAATAAAAAGCCAATATTATTTTTATTTTATTAGGCCAATAACTGATAAATGGTCACTATTAAAAGTCTACAGTCTGAATAAAAAAAATAATAATACAAATTAAAATCAATGAATTTTGGTATTGCAATATTATAATGCACAGTGCATTTAACAGTATTATTAAATTATGAATGTATTTAAAGATAAACTTTAAAGGGATAGTTCACTCAGAAAAGAAAATACGTCATAATTGGGTGAACTATCCCTTTAAGTGAGCATTACAACATGCACAATTAATATCCAATATCAGTGTTCAGTATATACAAAATGAACCAAAAATGTCTATTAACTCATATAACAAATCACTAAAAATTCGTTCTTTGTAAATGAGGCCCCTTGTGGCTTTCAATTCTTTATGAATTTCTTCAAGAACAGCACACAAATCCACTCTACCTAAAATGTTTCATCAATGAGGCATTAATGAATTGCATTAATATTAATATTTGTATGCAGGCAAACCGAAAGGATTATAAAAGTAAGAGCTCAAGACTGTTAACATGTGAACGCTGGCAGACTTTAAAGGAGAATCACACTGGAGACTCAAAGCTCTGGAAACCGAGTGGGTGGGAGAATATTATCTTGTTATTCTGTGAACACTTTAAGCCTTTTATAGCTATTTGTAATATAAATGCACCATGATGATAACCTGACTCCGCCAGATGGATTTGCTCCGCATATCCATCTGGAAACCTTCCGTTGAAGTAGTTTTGGTAAGGGGCGAAAATACTGGTTAGCTGATTGGCCTATGTTGGTGATAGACGGGCCAAATCAACCAATCAGATCAACGAAGCATATGACGTACTAACAGAGCGTATCTTTTCCTCTGAGAAAAGCCTCCAGAACAGTGTTTTGCTCTTCTTTCAGTGAAGAAATACTCTGTAATTCCGATAAAACTTGCTCGATAGCCACGCTGATGCTAGTTTCATCCGCTGAAGCCGACATGTTCTTTAGACTGAACTGACGCGCTTCTCGTTGCGTCACACCTCAACCCGCCTCAAAGCCAACGCTGATTGGACGTTCGTTTGGTGAACTGCTCCCAAATTTTCTTTAACGGAAAGTATCCAGACTGATCTGCGAGTGAAACCTTGAAAGCTCGCGAGATCAGGATGGTCTCACGAGGCTACCATGATGATAGAATATCTGAACAATAACCTGGAATGATATTATGGCTTGATTTTCCCATATTAGATAAAGTGTTGAGGTGAGAAGCAGGGGATGTTTCGAATGACACTATCAAACTGCTCATACTTGTTCTGCAGTATGTACACTTTGCATTGAATATCTGGCTTACCTGCAGGCCTACATTTGCCAAAATATGCAGAAGCACAACAGAGCGAGCACACACTGTGAGACTCTGTATCCCAGAAAGCAATGCACTTGACTTGACCTTTTCTTTTCCACTGTGACAAAAGAACCAAAAGTAATATCAACCACGACGTCACGTTTCTCATCTCTTTCTTTACTGATGAATGGATCTGACCAAAGACTTTTAGACAAACTTGTTTATAATAAAATCATAATATATTACAATTTGTAATAAATGTTATAATTTTAGACCAAAAATATTTGTAATAATGTCATTTATATAATGTATCACTGTTTCACATACTACTAAAATCTGAGTGGTGATGCAAGTGGTTAAAGGTCTGGGCTGGCAACCAAAAGACCGAACCGAAAGGTTCAAACCCTGGAAGCGCTGATCCATCACCACTGTGCCCTTGATCAACACAATTAACCTGGGACAAAAAGACTCAAGGTTGTATAGCCTTCTCTGCTCCTGGAGGGCCACAGTCCTGTAGAGTTGACTCTGATGTTGGTTAGCTTGTTCAGAATTAGGGTTTGGACTGGACCTCCAGGAGCGGGGTTTGACTCCTTTGCACTTTGGCCTAGACTTAAGGTACGTTCACAAGACAATAATGTCCTAAAACCGGAAAAGTTTCTCCTTTACGTTTTTTTTGCGTACAGACGAAAACGTTGTCAAAACTCTCCCGTTCACATGGGTCCACAAAAACTATCTGTATCAAAAACTTTCACTTTGAAATATGTTTTCTAAATTTGGCATTTTCAGGACCGCAAAAACACTGTTATCCAGTAAATAAAATGCATAAAAAAAGTTTTCCTTTTTTTGTTGAAAATGGTGTTGTGTCAACGGGCCCTTAATGATGGATAGAAATTTATCTTGAAAAAAATATTTTATCTATATTTATCTATTTCAGAAATAGAAAGATTTTGTAACATTATAAATGTCTTAACCTTCCCTTTTGATCAATTTAATGCATCCTTGCTGAATAAAAGTATTAGTTTCTTTAATTTCTTTTAGAAAAAATATTTTGAAAACTTTTAAACGGTAGTGTATAATGTAACAAAAGTGTTTTATTTAAGATAAATGCTATTCTTTTGAACTTTCAATTCATCAAAGAATCCTTAAATAATTGCAACTGTTTTTAACATTTATATAACAATCATAAATGTTTCTTAGAATGATTGCTGAAGGATCACGTGACACTGAAAAGTGGAGTAATGATGCTGAATATATATATATATATATATATACTGTATATTACAATAGAAAACAATTGCATCAAATGGATCAAATAAATGCAGCCATATATATATATATACATATAATATTATGCATGCTTCATTTCTTCTAAGAATGTATTGATATTAATTTTATTAAAAATAATAAAGAAACTGACAGAATCCGCCTGTACGAGCCACAGACACTATTGCTTAAATGACACGAGCCCTTGCTGCTAATAAATTCATGTAAATTCGTTTCATTACCTGTAGTTATACGAGGGGAATTTCTTGCTCTCTTTCAGAAGCATTCTGTAGAGTGAAAGTACATGCTCTCTGCTGGACGCCGCCATAATGGAAACAGAGCTGTCAGTTCGACGCAAGGACCCAAGAACAGCTAACAGGAGGCGCGCCTGAACACATACACGCTCTTTAGCGTTAACATATACGATCCAAGCTGGGTTTCAATATTAATTGATACAGTTTTTTACAAGTAAAATATCATAAGGTAATACAGTGTTATAAATTAATATATATTATGAGATGTGGTGTTTATATTGATCAGGCACATCAGCAGTCGTCTCAATAACAGCACGCGCTTCCAGATAGAGGTGAGTGAGGGGTTGTTCTGTAGTTTCATGCGTTGATTTGCACACATTTATTCTGTTTTTTGTGAATTATGACGTGAGAATTACTGTCAGTGTGAGCATTTGGCGGCTGTTATTTGAAGTGTCGCTTGTCAGTATTGAGTTGTCCGTTTGAATATAAATTACAGGCTAGCTAGAGCTTGTTCATGAGTCTGAGCAGATTAATCTCAATGAAACTCCTCACACAAACAAAAAAACAATATAGCTGTTGTTTATATTGGTATTTATCCTGCCATAAACTATATCTGACTCTTTAAATGAAGTCATCATGCGATTTTATGAGACAGTGTTAGATTACTGGTCACTATTGTTTTCCCACTGCTGCTTTTTACATTTTCATGTTGCAAATAGCACTTTTGTGTGTGAAAAGTGAACTTTTGTGATATAATAACGGAAATAACTGAGCTTCGGAGTTTTGTCATTAAACAGAAGTTGTGATAGTTTTTTCTCTTTTGTATTGTGATGTATATCAAAGTGCAACGGCTTCTCGAACAAGAAAAAATGTAGGACGGGGCAAGAGCTTGATTTTGTCTGTGGGGAATTGATTGGATGGTTGTGGTTTGCTATTGGTGGATCTCGTGTGAGTGACAGGTTGCTCCGCCCTCATCATCAGAGAAGAGATGTCGCTATCATCGGATATCAATCATGCTGATCACCTTATTCCAGGCGGCTCATGTTGTTATGAAAATATTCGCGTTTTTGAATGCTCAGGTAAGAGGATGTAAAATTAGAAAAACTTTTTGTCTGTGCCGTCTAGACTTCGTCTTGAAGCCAGCGATCTCTCGGCCCGACTGTGTGGAACACATCGCAGAAACTAGCCCGACAAACGCTCGACGTTGGCAGACCTTTGGCTTTGTGTCACGGCCTTTATTTTGACAGCGGCTTCCATTTTAAGTCAAGTCCCCTTCATTTATATAGCGCTTTTAACATATAGACTGTTTCAAAAGCAGCTTTACAGTGATAATAGGAGATTAAAGTCGCAGAGATTGTTTTGGCTTTACAGCAGATCTACAATAAAGTTATTTTCCAGCTAAGTTAGTTTTTGATTGATTCACTTCCGTTGCAAATATCATTAGTTATTAACTTTCAACTGAAAACAGAAAACTTTTAATGTGTTCTGGCTGTTGATTTGCACGACAACAGTGTTTGGTGGCTCTTTTTTTGGTGTCTTGGTGTTTTACCACTTTCCACATCCATTTTGAGCTGAAACCTGCATCAATTAGAAAGCACTTTTGCTAATAAGCAGACAGTTGCAAATCCACAAATTGTACTTTAATCTGTTTAAAGTAACACCAGGGAACTTTTGCTCTCGGGGTGGGGTCCCCCTACAGTTGGGAAACAGTATTGTCCTCTAGACCTCCACTACTGTCGTAAACTCTGTCATCCTACATGCACGTGCAATTGTTGACAACCAGGATAGCCCTGAACACTGTAGGAGGAGGTCACATGCAGGTGTTCTGCTTGCGTCGCGTGTGAAATGTCTTCATCCCAGGTACAGTGGCATATATTTCAGCATGTCATATGAATATAATTTCATGGATTTTATTTTTTTTCTAACGACAAATGATCGCGATGATCACGTTTACAAGCCAGCGTCATTATAGTAGCCTAGTCTATTGGTTACCGTTTTACTGGATCTATATGATACTTCAATGCAATGTTTGAGTGGTTGATGATAACCATATATCGCCAATATTATAATATCAAGCTACCATAAATGAATCTGCAAATTTTACAAATCGATTTGCATTATAGCTTGAGGCAAGACAAATAAACAAATATCACAGACATGTTAGGTATCCTAAAATATGATTTTGTACATCTTATATATTTACTTGCAAGAATGCAGCCCCTACCAAACTTGTACACGCCGTTTAGACATAGGCTTTCATTTTATTTTTAATTTTTTTGCCAAGTCCGCATCGGTCGGGCACCCCTCCTCGTCCTTCAGCTCACGCTAGGGTTGCCGCGGTGAGGAAAATTTCCCACCGGTTAATCGACGTGTCACAACACCGGTAATCCCGGTGTCACCGTGGGGGGCGGGGCGGGGGGGGGGGGGTTAAATAGCTTTTAAATGCGTGCGCGTTATACTTTCACTTTCGAAATAAGCGTCAATTGGCAATTCAGCGTCAATTGCTTGAATGGACAAAAAAACAACAACTCGGCTTGCTGATAATAAAACTTTTATTTATAGACAGAACTTTTATTAGCATAACGAACGAATAAAAATAACCCCATGCATAGGCTGAAAATCGTACAAATAAGAACCATAAAACGTTTATTAACGAATAAGAAAATAAAACAGGCCTAAATAAATTACACATTCCGCCATTATCTTGCTTTTCTTTAATTTGACTCGTTCTCATCTCCACACGTGCTAAATGGAATCCTGATGCTTGCTGATCTGTGACGTGACTGGCTCTTGGCACGCACTGCGCAGTTCAGTTTTTAATTATAATGTATGCTCTCTTCTGAACTAAATAATTGATAATTATTATTTTTTTATTAATTCAAATAAATATTTTAGCAAAAACGAATACTTTAAAAAAGTCAAGACATCGCGGTGTCACGGTGGGAAAGTGATGTCACCGGTGATGGGGCTTAAAACCGGTAACACCGTCAACACCGTCTATCGCGGCAAGCCTAGCTCACGCCAGCGAGAAAATGCTGGCCCAATGTTGATCCTCGTTCTGCCTTTAACGCGATCACTTTCTCTTTTTCTCTTTTTGCTTTGCTCCGATAAAACCTTTGCTTTCTTGTTTTTCTGTGCTGCTTCGGCCATGACTATAACATTTGGCTCGCACGTCCGATTTTAAGGAAGTGGGGGTGGTGGTGGAAGTGACGTATGTGCCGTAAAGCAGTCGAATTTTGTAGTTCTCTTTGTTCGCCGGTTACTACCCGAAACCCGAAGTTTAAAAGTACGATTAAAAACGCTACAGACCCCGTCAGGCTATGGCAGACGTGTCATTCAACCTATTGTAAGTCGATGTACCATCACAAGAGACTTGGAAATATATTATGAAGGTTGAAAAGTAACCTAGTGCTGCTTTAACATGAAGCCATGATCCTTCAGCTTGAGTCTTCAGGCAGATTTCTTCAGGAACACATCAGATCAACCCATGGATTTGGCTGCAGATCTATAAGTTTTAGAGCTTCCAATAATGTCCACTTTCTCTGTGAAATGCTGGCTAAGGGAATCATATGCCTCTCGTGTGAAGAGTCGATGTTTGAAGATCCTTGTTCTTAAATTAAAGTGTGAAGTAAGTCACATCTCAAATGAATGTCACTGTGATGTGTTAAATCTCTGAGTCACTGCTGGAGATGTTATGAGAGGTTATTTACGAGTCGACTGCCATCAGTAAATGAAAGGATTTTTTTTTTTTCTGATTCAGCAGGGTTTAACATGGAGAGTATATAGTAGTCAACATTTGAAGTACTATTATGTTATTATATATATTATATATACACTCTAATAAAATGCTGGGTTGTTTAACTTTCAACCCAAATATGGGTAAAATATGGACAAACCCAGCCATTGGGTTAAATCTTTTAATTCAATTTTTAACCCAACAGTTGGGTTTGTCCATATTTGACCCAAATTTGGGTTAAAACAACCTTAAATTTTTAAAGTGTACATATATTATAAGTACTAGTATAACTTGAAAGGTTTTGATCCACTTCAAATGTTTACTACTGTGTGTGTGTGTGTGTGTGAAATGAACTGTAAAGAACTGTTGAATCGATGATTGTTGGTGCATTTGTAATGGGCTGTAAACTAGTGTTGGCGACAAAATCTGACTTTTGTTTAAAAAATATTACGCACCCCTATTTAAAAGTGACTTTTGTGTGAGGTGAGCTTAATGCATCTGTTGTACTATTGACACTTTTCACATGAGATCCTTGGAAATGTGGAGAACGGGAGACGACAGCAAATAAAATGGTTGTATTCCCATTTGCTCCGTTAGCAAAATAAAAATACATGATAGCGTTTCCATGACTTTCTAAAAGAGGGACAAATATTGAGAGAGATTGATTACAGCAGTCGGAAGAGAAAATGGTGTGAATGAAATTTGCCATCACACCCTCAGCCGTTGTATTAGAAACGCCTTCGCAATGTTAATTAGCTTGTTTAATTTACTGCAGAGGTAATATAACACAAAGTATAGCGTTATGAATATATATTACATTTTTTTTATATATATGTTAATAACTGTGGAAACAACTCCTCTTTGAAAAGGGTCCATGATAACAGACTTCTTTTGCTGATGTGAACGCAGTGACACACCTTTATGTCCTTTTAGAGAAACGTTTAATCTCATTTGTGTTTCTGACGGGTGTTGACCGAATGTCTTTTCTTGAGGGAAATATGGATTTATGGTGATTTTTCAATTCTGTTTGCAGTCCTTGTGTTCTGTGTGTTTTCAGCATAGCAGTGCCAAGGTTTGTGTGTTTTATCCAAGGCTCTTTCTCTGCAGATAACAAATCAACCCATCACCATCAGCTTTATGAAAAACACAAGCTGCCTTCTCGGTCTCCTCTGAGGAACATGTTTCTCTTGCTTTTCCCGTCTCTGAAGCATGAAGAACGGCTCTGTCTTTGACCCGCAGAGATCGATGTTGTGCTCATAACACATGAGTGTGTGTAGAGATGTTGAGCTCGGCGGGGTTGGGTGTTGAAGATGAGGTTGGATTTAAAGGGTGTCTGCTCCTCAGCGCTGCCGGAGAAGGTCACAGACGTGTCCTGTGTGCAGATGTCCCTAGCTTTGAGTGGAAAGGTCACCAGCGAGTGGCAGGTCAAGACAACAGACTGTGAAACCGTGTCATCTGATTGAGTTGATCTCTCCATTTGGAGACCAATTAACAGAGGGAGGAATGACAGCTGATTATGCCCAGGATTATTTAATGCGTTTGTTTATGCATTTATTTATCTCGATTTTAAATGAAGTACAAAGTTATTTTTTTGTC